TGGAAGAAGACATGATAAATGAAATAAACATGTTACAGAGTCCAAAATAACTTGGCCAAAAATTAAAAAAAAACAAAAACAAAAACAAAAAACTGGACAAAGCAAGTTCTTTCCCCCTGCTACTGTAGAAGAATAAAACAAGGAAAAAACTCTTAGGCAGCACCACCATTAATGATCATGTAATGTTTTTCAATCTGTGTTGTTTCTGAAAAGGCAGCAAAGATAACTATGAAAAGCAAACGGACACTTAAGAGGCTTACACTTGCTAACCAAGGATCTGCATTTCCCTCCAGAAAATATTCAGGTGTAAGCTAAACATCTGTGAATTTGTTTAACCTCTTAGTAACTGGGACTTCTAACCACCCTCACACAATCATTAACATGCCTTCATTGTCAGAAACTTACTCGATATACCAGTTACTAAAAGCTGTGTTGCCTGTTATTCTGCATTTTAAAATGTTTAAAACCAATGGCAACGTATGCTCATGGAAGATACAAATGTATAAAACATGTCTGTGAATCTATTAACACATTTCAATCTTACCATCAGATCAAATCTAAATTCTGCTCTCCTGATGCTTTTGAACTTGAAGTCTTTCTGTCTGATACAGTCAATACAATTATTCAGTAATAAAATACAACAGTATGAAGCCCTTCAATGGTCTTGTTTCTCAAAAAAACCCCAAGTAACAATAGAGATGTGGATCTTTCACCTTGATATTAGTATTTTGTTAAGCAAATGTGTCCTGTCTTATAGCAAAATGTGCATAAAGAGGTTGTATCACTGTCATGGTTTAACCCAAGAATGGCAACTAAGCTCCACACAGCTGCTTGCTCACTCCCTCCCCCGCAGTAGGATGGGGAGGAGAATCAGAAAAAAGGTAAACCCCACGGGTTGAGATAAGAACAGTTTAATAATTGCAATAAGGTACAATATAACACTATTACTACTACTAATAATAATAATAAATGAAAAGGAAAATTACATATATAGAGAGAGAAAACTATAAAAACCCCCCAACAAACAGCAGTGATGCACAATACAATTGCTCACCAACCACTGACTGATGCCCAGCCCGACCTGAGAAGTGATCAGTCCCTTCAGGTAGCTACCCCCAGTTTATATCCTGGGCATGATGTGCTGTGGTAAGGAATACCCCTTTGGCTAGTTTGGGTCATGTGTCCTGCCTTCCTGCTTCTGTCCCTCCTCACTGGCAGAGCATGAGACTGAAAAGTTCTTGATCAGGTTAAGTGTTACTGAGCAACAATTAAAAACTGGTGTGTTATCAGCATTGTTCTCAGACTAAATGCAAAACACAGCACTGTACCAGCTGCTAGGAATAAAATTAACTCTATCCCAGCCAAAACCAGGACAACCACTTTGTAACTTTTTGTTGAAATTGCTTGAGCAGTAATTTTAATGGATGATACACAATGCTAAGATCTTGCTGCAGGTACCCACTGGTTGAGCTCATTTCTGTTGCATATGAATGCATAATGTTTTCCTAGGTCTTAAAGAAATAAGAACCATTCAGAAACATGTCCCAGAGCAAGGAAAGCATTTTACAAGTTTTTTATCCAGTATCTGTTCACTTGTAACTTTAAATATCCCTACTGCTAAACATGCTTTGCTAAATGTTACCAAGGTAGAGGTTTAGTGTGCAATAGTTTCACAATTCTCGTAATCATAAAATAATAAACTTACATTATGGATAAGTGTTTCACCTATCAGCATCCCAAAGATATCTGTGAAGGTGACAGGCTGCCCTGAGCTTTTCTTATTCCACAGTGCTTCAATGTAGCGTTTGACTTTCTGAGGAGTGAGCAGGAGAAGCGGGTTGTGACTCACGGAGTTCATCAATTCTTGATTAATCTCCTTTGGTCCTTTTTCTGGAAAATCGGGATGTGAATACAAAGTTGACATGTACCTGCAACGGAAAATAGGATCTGTAAGTATCAAAACCTGGTTCAATGTCAGCTGCCTGAAATGTACAATAAGCTCATAAATAATTTGATACAGTGACTGACTAAATCAGATTAATTTATTCAGCATTTATACAGTAAATTGTCATTTCCTTTTTCTCAAGGCATAAAAAGCTAAATAATTTGTTCAAAATGTAAGCAATCAAACACTAAACATAAATTTCATTTACATACATACATACACTCTCAAATGTGCATGATGTAAAAGAGTAAAGTGTTCCTCATTTATCTGTTTAAGGGATAATGGACAGAATCATCATCAGCTGAAAAAAGAGCCTTTCAAGCTGTCACAGCGTACCCAGATTTGGCAGACTGGAGGTCCTAGAAGCATACACATGCAGTTATTTCACTCCAGGATGGACCTCTCTCTCTCACTCTCCAGTTCATTATCACTATTCAAAAATTCCTAAAATACATTAGTATCTGGTATGCTTTCCAGGATCTAGATGCATTCATAATAAAATGAAGCTCAATAACTACAACACGTGCAGAGATTTAATTGACTCTGAGGATTCAGAAGAGGCCTATCAGGCAAATCTTGATTTTGCCACTGAGTAGTAACTCTGGAAACTGAAGTTTTGTTTAACCAAAATAAAAGTTAGACACACATCCAGACAAATGTGGTTTGCACCTGACTGGCTTATTCACTATTGGTGAAGATTCAAGCTAGGCCGTCCTTATCTACTAGATGCTCATTTCACTTTTACTTATTCAATTAGCTGGCTCAGGTATACATACCCTACTGCAGGTATAACTTTGTGCAGCAGTGAGATATAAACTCTAAGCTTGGCCCTGAGATCACTGCCTGGCAATTTACTTGACAGCATGATGAACCCTGTCACACGCATGATGTAAGAACTTGATTCATTAGTCCTTGCGTAGTCTCTAAAGCTTAGCATGCACGTCAGCTCGTGAGTGGAACAAACACAGCAGCAAGCTTCCATGTGAATAGGGAAAGGGTAATGCAGGATCAAGAATTTAGTACAAGGTTGAAGCAAGATGACAGAAGCCATCAGGGAGGTAAATGCATTGCTACAAGGTTAGACATGCATCTAAGGGAACAAGTGAAAACCTGCCTTGCCCTCCAGGAAAGGAATTCTCCACCTTTCAGAAGTGGGGGGGAAAAAAAAAAAAAAAAAAAAAGAGCATTATTCCCAAGTAATAGACTGCATAGAAAAAAAACAGAAAAGAAAGGGAGTGCCAAAGTGTTAATTTATTTATTCATCAGGCAAGGAAAGTCTGAACAGGTGACATCGCCAAGGTACCAAAAGCAAATTTGTTTAAATACAGTTGTTCCCAACATATGTTTCTGCCTGAACCAGTTCAGATAATCTTGCTATTTTAATACAGATTTTATAGGTTTACATTATATCAACGAGTTTTTCCAAAAAAGGACTCATGGCCAGTTATTCTCAGAATGAGTCTACGTACCATTCCCTAGAAACACAATGAAAATTTTTCACGCTACATTGCACTATTCAATTTCTTTTCATCCAAACAAATGATATCTTCCATTTTTCACAAATTTGACATAAGTACATCCATGTCTCTCAACAGACAGTGATAAATCTGCCCCCCCAACCACTAGTGATAGAAAACCCAGGATCCAGAGATGCAAATATTCTACAGTCTAATCTGAATGAGAAACTTCCTTTTGATCATAGACACCCGGCATTTCAAAGCCTTCTGGCATTTTGAAAGCTTTCTATCTACTCTGGGAGGGGAGAAGCAAGCTTCACAAAAGTAAAAAATAATTCAAAAAAAAAAAAACCAAACCCAAGGAATAGAACAGTTCATCGTCTATTTCAGAAGAGGTAACAGCTTTAGGGTTAGCATATTTCCTTAGAACATGTGGAACCAAAATTCATGTGGTTCCTTCGAGCTAAACCAGGGGATAAATCTCATCCCAGGCAAATTCTCTGCTCATTTATACTTAACTATTCCAACAAAAGTCTTTTTCCCTTACTCTCAAAGAAACAAGGCAGTCATATAATCTTACAATTTAGAATTAAAGGAACCTCGAGGTCTCTATTGCAACCTCCTGCTCAATGCAGATCCAACTTAAAAGTCAGATCAGGTTGCTCAGGGCTTTGTCCAGCCAAGTTCTGCTTTCACATGAAGTATTCACTGAGTCAGAGAGAGAGGATGATACCTTACCCAGCCTAGTCAAGTAAGGATGGGGCAATACATTCCAGTGCTTGACCACTCTCACTGCAAAATAACTTTCCAAATAGCTAATTACATTTCTTCTGCTGTAACTTATGGTCATTACACGTTGTCCTTTCTCTCTACATCTCCAAAAATAGTTTTCTTTACAGCTACTCATTAGGTAGCTAAAGATAACATTAAGACCTCTCCCACCACTATCTGTCAAGGCTAAACAAATCCAGCTACCTCACTTTCTCACATGCTCTAATCCCCTAATTGCCTAGGTGGTACTCTGATAGAATTAATCCAGTTTGTCAACACTTTTCTTGTACTAGGTGGCCCTAAACTGGACTCAGATGTTCCAATATTCAAACTGGTACAGTTATGATAAAATCGTATTTTGTGATATTTGAGATACTCCCTTGAAAAGTTCAACAGTTTGTTAAGATGTAACATCCCTGAAAGAAATTCTATCCCAGTGGAAAAAAAAAAAAAACCTGCAATTTTTCACTTAATGAAAAAAATGTCATGATGCTATGTTAAGGAGTCTAAACAGTTAAGAATTTTGGACTGAATTTGTCAGATGTCTTCAGCTGATGAAAATTACACAGCTTTTAAATATGTTACATCATTTCATTTAAGAAACATCAAAACAAATAGTTGCAACAATAAGCGTAATCTAGGTCAATAGTTGTAAAAGACAAGAAGACAGAAGGCTGCAGGTTCGTAGCACTAGTCAGGGAGAAGAGAAACCCTCTCATTTAGAAACCCTCTGTTTGAGGCAGACATAATACTGGGGTTCAAAGCATTCCACAAAACCCTGAGCTCATAGCAACTAGAGTGCCTCTTACACAGTGACATCACTGATTTTCTCCTGTTTATGTTGTTCCTGTTAATGGGCTGAAGTATTCACTGAGTCACAACGAAGGACCTCGTAACTACCTGGTTAGGGCATTCTAATTAAGACATCTTCGAAGATCTTTGCTCCCATTTGACTAACAAACTATTTAAAAAAAGATGTAATTTCCAAATTAAACAGTGACAATAGGATTGATATAAGGCAATCCATAGTAGGATGCCCTGCAGCATGTCAGTCAGTCAGTATTATTTCCTGCAAGCTGAAATACATCTGCTCAAATCTCCTTACACTAAGAAAGAACCAATGAACAGGTCCTAGACATCCCAAATAAATCTACTAAGAAAAGGACTAAAGCGTCTAAGAGTCACCAGAAGATTTTTCAGTGATTTTGAGAATCTCTGAAAAGTTCCCCAAAAGTATAAAATTTTGGGTTGGACGAGTCATCATCCTGAAATAGCAAGGATTTCCCCCCCCTCCCCCCCAGGAAAATAAAATAACACAAAAAGAATCTTTTGGATTTATATCAACAGCTTGAATTCTTAATTTTTGGTTACCAAGATGAAAGAATCACTTACACAATCCTAATACATACAGTACTGGCTGTTGATATAGAAATGTAGGTGCATACATGTAGCACCTTTCTGCATCCATTCC